TGGCCCTCTGCTTAAAAAGTTTTAAGACCCCCGGTTTAGGCTATCATTGGAACTCCAAATGGTGGGTAACCTTAATTGATTAGCTGAAACAAACTGTCTTCATAAAAATTGGATATGAAGTTGACTGGTTGCTTCGAGTCTAATTGAGTTACCCTGTTCAAGTTCAGTTGATACACAAAGTTATATAAACTCAGAAGCAAAAGCTTCTGAATTTTTCTGTACAGTTATGGTGGAGGAAGAAAATTGAGAAAAAAATTAAATGGAAGGCTTTTTAGTTCTTGGAACTAGCTATTTTTGGAATAATTTAAGAGGATAGCTACTTCCTTTCTGATAATTGCTCTTTTAAAATAGTTGTGAAACATTTGGTTTTTATTAAAAGTATCTGACAAATAGATGCACCACACGTGCCATGGAGCTGGAGATTTCCTCCTTAGCATACACACAATTGAGAGTTGTAGTTTGACGTAGTCTTTAGCTTTCGCTGCCAGAGTGCTGGTGCCTTGACTGTAAATCCTAGGAACATGGCAGTTAAAGTGGGATCAAGCTGTATTAATTTGACAGTGTGGATAGAAGCAGAGACTAGAAGAGCAGTTCACACCATTTGTTGTCCACAAAAAGGTCCATCTATGGGGGCAGCATGGGGCTCTAGTCCAAAAAGCTTCTAAGGGCCCTTCCATACAGCCATATAACCCAGAATATCAAGGCAGATAATCCACAATATCTGCTTTGAACTGGATATCTGAGTCCACACTGCCATATAATCCAATTCAATGTGGATATTATACAGTTGTGTGGAAAGGGCCTGAGCTGTTGAGTGTTTGGGTGGATCTACATTGCGCTATATCCCTGGATCTGATCCCAGATTATCTTCTTATCCCAGATTATTTGACAGTGTAGATTCAGGGCCCTTCCACACAGCTGTACAAAATCCCATATTATCTGCCTTGAACTGGGTTATCTGAATCCACAATGTCATATATTCCAGTTTGAAGCAGATAATGTGGGATTTTATTCAGCTGTGTTGAAGGGGCCTCATATAATCCAATTCAAAGCAGATATTCTAGATTATCTGTTTGATAATCTGGATTATGTGGCAGTGTAGAAGGGGCCTAAATCTGAAGTGTTTTTTAAACAAACATCAACAACAAATATGTCTATTACCTGGAGAAATGAAATAATTTCAATATTTGTCATATGAAAATGGAGTCAGTTCTTCAGAATATATGTACATATGTTTCTATGAATGACACAATTGTTATAAGCCGAGTAAGCATTAAAAATGGACTTTTTTCATCATCTTTTGAGATATGAAGAGGACAGGGGAGTTTCCAAAGGTTGCATGAAGTATTTTGTGCGTTTTGTATGGCCAATAAAGGAATCATTCTTTTGTGCACTATTTTCTCTTTAAATTGGAGAAAGTTCTTGACAGAGGTAAAAGTGCTTAAATCTTTTTCCATTTTCGTCCTGTGTTAATATATTCCTGTTTTGCTTTTTCTGATAGCGATTTGCTTTTCTTGTTCGCTACCTCCCCCTTACATTGTAACAGCTTTGTAGATAAATTTCTTCTTTATTGTGAAGTTGCTTGAAAAATGGCCTACCTGCTGTGTTTTGTGAAATAAATGAACAGTAGAAAATGGCATAATTCCATGATGCTTTAGTGAATGTTAACTAACTTTATTTTGCGTAATTGCATGGGATTTGCATAACAATTTTTGTCAGCTGCAAAGGTCTAGCATAGGCTAAGCCAAACTGGGGGCCCCAGTATGCAGTGAAAGGGAATTGGAATGAAGCCAATATGAAACTTTTTTACTGTGTAAATTTCCCATAAAAATTAATTTTATCTGTACTAGTAGAATATCAGATCTCAAGTTCAGCCTTTGCCAAACCTGGAGGAATTTTTGAATTAATTTTCAGGTCTCAGGGAACCCCTGCATAATTATTATATTATAATATTTAGAGATCAAAAATGTTTGGAGTTTTTTTCCAATCATGATCTCTTGCTTAACAGCTTTTTGTGGCACTCCTACAGATCCAGGAAACTCTGGATAAGACCCTCTTCTCTAGATGGGTATTACTTTCTTCCATAATAAGAACAGAATGTATATAAGAGAACAAAAGCTTTCAATGTATCCAAAAGAGCAACCTTACTGTAAAACTTGTATAAGTTCCTCTTGTGCTGGCTGCAGCAAAATAATATATTGATAACATATGCCGTCTATTCTGGTACGCTCGCATAGCTACCCTAGCAAAGGAAAAACCATGCTGCCGCGGAGAAATAGGTGGAGTCTTCGACTGTGCTGGCACAGTTTGCTCTCCCAAGACGCTAGTTTGCGGCGGCT